TTTAGGTCTTCTGCCCATTTTTGGACTGGGTTGTTTATTTTTTTCTTATTGAGTCGTATGAGCTGCTTACATATTCTGGAGATCAAGCCTTTGTCGGTTTCACTTGCAAAAATTTTCTCCCATTCAGTAGGTTTTCTTCTTGTTTTACTTCTTGTTTCCTTTGCTGTGCAGAAGCTTGTAAGTTTCATTAGGTCCCATTTGTTTATTCTTGCTTTTATTTCTTCTAGGAGAAAATTTTTGAAATGTATGTCAGATAATGTTTTGCCTATGTTTTCCTCTAGGAGGTTTATTGTATCTTGTCTTATGTTTAAGTCTTTAATCCATTTTGAGAAAGCTAGCTTCTTTTATAACTTATCTTTTGTGCCACAACTTCTACCCAACCGCAGTGGCAGATATCAGATCTTTCTCAGTGAATATTCTGGAAAGTCACTATTTATTGATTTTATTTGGCACACTAGAATTACCTGGAGAGCTTTCAAAAACCACTGGTGTCTGGTTCCCAGGGAGGCAGCGTGGATTAAAGACTCCTCAATGATTCTATTGTGCAGTCAAGGTTGAGGACCATTGTCCCACACTATTGTGTCTCCACTCATTCTAAATGCGTGTAGGAATAGCCTGAGGATCGACTTAAATTTCAGGTTCTGAGTGGATGGGTCGAGGTGGGACCTGAGAGTCTCCATTTCTAACAAGCTCCCAAGTGATGTTGATGCTGGTCCGTGGAACACACTTCGAGGAACAAGAATTCTCTGCAATTCATGGATTGCACCAGCATCCACATAATTATCTCAGTAAAGCCTCACAATTGCCTCCTAGCCACCCTGTGGTTGGACAGGTCTTGAACTACTCTATTTTGCTGATGCTCAGGGTCAGGTACGTGAATGGGTGAAGATAAGCCTTTTGAATCTTCTTCTGTATCCCCCATGGCCAAAAATCTGGACTGACCCAGAAAAGAGCTTGATAAATTAGAGTGAGAAGAGATCTGAATAGTTTTGTCCAAACTCCACATGTATGGCTGGTGAAACAGACTCAGAAAGGAGGTGACCTACCAAGGTCACATAGAAAATTCAGTGACAACAATGGAGCAGGTTTTCTTTTCCATTGTATCTGGCTGTTTGGTTCATCTTTACTGAGGCTCTGAGCAGACTACCTCTGAGTCACAGATTGAATGCTGACAATGTGCCCTATATAGGTGCTCAGTGCTTTCTGTTACCTCCTTTGATCATCACAACAATCCCTTGAAGCAGGTTTTATTCTGTCCCCATTTGACTGTGAGGAAACTGAAGCTCTGAAAAGTGAAGTCCCCAGGAAGTTGCAGGCCTGGGATTCGGACCCAGGAGTCCTCTCTGTTTTCCTGATGCTAATGAGCCTCCCATGTTTTTTCCCCCACCAGACTATGAGATTTTCTTAGTTAAGGACCATGTCTCATTCTGGTTTATGCCACCAAACCAAGGCTGAATATTTGAATCAGTAAACCACTCTAGGGTTCTGCACCTCTGCTGACAAAGACCTTCATCCCCAGGACACTAACTCCTCTCTGGGAGCTCCTCCCTTAGCCCTTGCCCCTTGCCCCAGTGCAACCATTTCTCTCCACCCAGACCAACCCCCCGCGACATGACTTAAAATTAGCCAGACCAGAACCCACATCATGTTGTACAGCAAAATAGCCACGTGGTGGCAGTAGATGCCCATGTGTAAAATCTTCTGAACCTGTCTGCACCTCCTAGAAAGGATCATTTATTTACTCGCTAAATGGTTTTCTTTCTCCAGGCATTTGTCCAAGAGCTTTCCATCCATGAACCAAGATAATCCCCATAATAGCCCTGTGCTATTCATCCTCTTTATAGTTGAGAGATCATGTTAGTCCTTTGCTGAAATAACCTTCCATGGCTGCCCACTGCTCTTTGGAAAAATCGAAATCCTTACCTTCATAGTCTAAACCCTACCCAGTAGACCCTTAAGTCAGACTGCTGGGGTTCAAATTCCAGCTCCACCACTCCTTACTTATGTAACCTTGGTCAAATTTCTTTGCTTCTCTTGAGCTTCAATGTGCTGATCTGTAAAATAGGGTAATGAGATAGAATCTACCCCCATGGGGGTGGGAGTAAGGGTTGTATAAGATGAGACACCTAAAGCACAGAATTCCATGGCTGGCATCAGCAAGTGCCGGACAAATGGCAGCCACTGTGATTACCATCAGACTCAAGGGCTTTGTTTAATGGCTAAACTATTACTATTTTGTCTTGCTTGACTGTTTTCCTTTGTTTCTACATTTTCTCTCTTCTCTGATTAAATTTATTCTTTGGAACTTGGGGAAGGCGTAGGAGTCTAAAGTCTTTCTACAAATGAGGTTGACAGAAGACATGGGAAGATTCCGTAGGGTCCTGCTAGGTTACACACGTGCAACTCAGGTTTTACTAGGGAAACTCAGAGGCAGCGGGCAGCAGCTGAATGAGGCATTGGGTCGTCCAACCTGTGGACAGAGGTGTGGGGACCCCCGCATACCTGGAACCATCCTGAAAAAGAGCCCCTCCCGACCCCGTCCGTCATTAATTGACTTTTTAATAGACACGTATGAGGTAAGTCAAGTAAAGAAAACCTGGTCTGAGCTCAAGCTCAGGGGAGTCGTTTGCAGGGCTAAGGGCACCTGGAGACCCTGTAGGAATTAGAGACCATGTGGAATCATTTCTGCTTTGGGAAGGGAGCTCCCTCTGGAACCACCTGCTATCTCATTGCTGGGTACCTGGAGTGAGCCCCTAGGGTCTTCCAGTACAATCTAAATTGTTTTTCAAAGGTCCATCCCTGACTGAGGAGCTCATCCAACATAATCCTGCCAAACAGAAGTAGAAATCAACAGGGGTAGAAAGCAACTGGGCTTGTAATGAGACTTCCAATGGTGTTGGCAAGGCTGGAGGAGACATTAACGCTGGAGCAATAGTACAGAGCCCATCATGGAGGCCTGAGCCATCTGGCCATGGAGTCCATGCCAAGCCTGGGAAGAGAGCCCCATGTTCAGATGGAGAAATGGCCTGGAGGCACTGGGCTTGCTCCTACAGCAGCTGCATGGGCTTCTTGACTTGGCTGAACATGTTAACCCAGAAGCAGCAGGAGCTATTGGCCAATGTGGCTACTCCCCTGGCTGGCTAGTAAATAGTCCAAAGCTGTGTGGTTATCCAACGTAGCCTGAGCTAAAGAGTCATGATAACCTTCTTGGCATTGAGAAACCTGGCTGTCCCCATAGTAATTTCCTTCCAGAGTAGTTATGTATCATGATTCTTCCTATCTATGGGAGGAAAACCTGCATGAAAACCACATGCTTAATACCAGGAGTGTCTTGTGTCAGTGGCACCAGAGGCTGGAACTGGGAAGGTTACCTTTCCCGTCGGTCTTGGGTTATTAGGAAAGCTCATATGCAGGTGGCATTATGTCCAAGGAGAAAGCAAGGCAGGACCTATATCCAGAGCACAAAATGATTCTGTGGTCACAAAGGGCACTGCTCAGTATTCTGTCTGTAGGCCTTAATACCATCCCTGCAGAGAATGAGAACGTGGTTGTAAAGGCCCAGGGCATAGCAGTTGGTGGATGTGGCCAGCTGGGAACAATGCCTTTGCTATTGTCAAAGAGTGAGACACCGATAAGATCTCCCATAGCTGGGTACAGTGGGATGGGGAGAGTGGAATATTCAGTACTGTGATGGGTTCATGCCATGGGCCCTGGCCTGGGCAAATACTGGAGGCTGTTCAGCATTGCCTGTCCAGATCCACTCCTCCACCCTGGTCTATTTCCTGCGATTGCTTGCATATGTTCCTGCTAGATTTGCTGGGGTCTGTCATGCTCCTGGGATGATCCAACGGATCTGTCCTTTCCCAGAGTATTTACCTCCATAGGAACCCAGGAGTCACTCTACTGCCTGACACATCAGGTGAACTTGGTTCCCTCCTAGGTGCTCCCAGAGGATGATGAGGGAGTGGCTAATGTAATTGCTCTTTAAGCCCTCCACACCAAGGCTCGTTTATACCCACCACCTGCAGGTGGCAAGTGTGGAAGAGCAAGCAAATTCCATGTTGGCAGCTGGGGGGCAGTGCCAGAAAGATAATTCCATCACCAGATTGTATCAAACCAGGAAATCCCAGCACATGATGGAAGTGCTTATCAGAATGTGAAGAGTCTAGGTGTTACCTCCTTGGTGGAAGAGAACAGCCACCCCCATATGCCTAAACCATGTTCACAGTGTCAGAATCCATGGAAACCAATTGGCTAATTGTAAACTGGCCAGATCCAAAGGTCATTGTGTCACCTTGAGCCACCATGAGACACATGCCAATGTTACTGGCAAGTAATACACATTCCGTGAGCACCAGTGACTTCACAGGTCAAATGGGTCCTCATTGGGCCATCTCGGCCCCCCCATGGTGGTTTCACTGTTATGGTGGGTCCAGGCATGGATCTAGTGTACTAAAGTGTATATGATGGCCACAGAGTCTTAATGAGCTTTTTCAGTCCAGATGCTCTCTTCCAGATGAGGCAGGAAACCCCATAAAAAGACCAGCAGTACCCTCAGGCAGGGCCACTACTCTCCTGCCAGCACCATCCGGTTCCCTGGCTCAGAGGCTCTATCTCACTTTTTGCCTCTGAAACGGCTTACTTACCCCTAAAATTCTATTGGTTCCCTGAGCTCACTCCTGATTAGTTATTTCCTTCACTCCTGATTGGTCCACTTCCCTAACTTCTGACTGGTCCATTTGTAGTACTTCATTTGCATGGAGCTCACTCCTGATTGGTCCATTTCCCTCACTCTTGATTGGTTACGTCTCTCCCTCCTGATTGGTCCACTTCTACAAAGTTTGTAGTCAACTTCCCTTATACCTCATTTGCATACGATGTTGCAAAATATAAACTGGCAGCCTATAAAAGCCTGTGTAAACCTACAGATGGGTTCCAGAGTTTGGAGTGTTAACTCCTCTGGGCCTGCTGGCTTTATAAACCTGAGTTCTCCAATTCTCCAAGTGCTGCTTTGTCCCTTGCCTGGATCCAGATTGCTGTCACATCTCAGCTGTAACACATTTTTTCTGCAACACAGACGCAGTGCCTTACTGTGGGTTTGTTCATTTATCACATATAGATGGAGTTTGTGGCTGAATTGTTGCACACCTATCTCCACAGCAGGTGTTATACCATATGGACATTCTCCTAACAGTCCAGGTCTGAGTGATCCAATGGGCCTGGCCATACAGCGAGACCATTAGCAATGGCCCATGAAGCTATATAAAAGGGACTATTTACAAAGGTGTAAGCAGGCCATAGGGAACCCTCAAGGGTGATGCAGTACTCCTGGGCTCATAACAGGGAAGATGCTACTGCCCTTGGGCCAAAAAGGAACCTGGGAGAAGGAGAGAGAGCCTCCCTGAGAGGAGGAGTGACCCTCTGTGAAAGTACCCAGCCAGCCCTAAACCAGCCCTAGGCAACCGCACAAGTGGGAACTGGGGAATGAGCACCTCAGCCTCCTCCTTCCCTCTCATACCCTGCCAAGGATCCCTGTTGACGAAACTCAACTGGAAGCCACAGGGCAAAGGCGTATGATGGTGCAGTCCGTGCTGGTTGGCCCCCTGGTGGAAAAGGCAAGAGAAGGATGGAGAGTGGGCCTCGAGGGAAGTGGGAGAAACCGACACACAAGGGAGAGTGCTGATCTTAGGGCAGTCACAGGAGTCTTCACTAGGAAGGGATCATTTGAGCAAAGACCTGAGATAGTATAGTAATTCATCTAATCCTCACAATTGATGAGGAAACTGAGGTACGGCACTCAACTTAGTTTTTGTCCAAGATCACACAGCTAAGATTTGACAGAGCTGGGATCTAAAGTCAGGCAGCTTAGCTCCAGAGATCCTGCTCTTAAACAAATTCGGATATAGGAAAGTCATCATGAAATGAAAGGGCAGAGAAAATGTCAGGACATATAAGACTGTAATCGGCAATCATAGATGTTATTTATTGAGCACTAACTGTATACTAGCCACTGTTTTAGGTGCCATGGGGGGATATACAGTTGAACAAGATGCTGTCCCTGCCCTCAAAGAATCCATCATCTAGCTGAAGGATGGGGGTGGAATATAGAAACGAGTACAAATCAAATCCCAGCAGAGTGTGTACATTCTATAGAAGAATTACAGATAAAATGCTGGGAAAGAGGAAAGAGACTTATCACAGCTGGGTTGAGGGAAGCTTTCTGGAGGTGGTGACTTTGGAAGAAGTGAAGAATTATAACAGCAGAAAGGGGAAGATAAGGGTTTCCAGAGGAAGAAACCATGTGAGCAAAGATGTGGCTGCATTTGGGGGATGGCCAGTCAGTTGGATTAGAGTGCATGAGACTTTTGTGGGAGAGAGATGATTTTAGGTGGGCCACCAACAAGGCATTAAGTCATGCTGGATCCCACAGTGAGGTAACTTCCTTCCCAATTCTCCCTGTTGGAGAAAAGTCTCAGGTTAGGGCTGGCATATCTTTCAAATGTTAACATTTGCTAATCTCCCTTTTTAACCCAAATTTTACAGATTTGGATCTTCAAAGCAGGCAAACAAGCTCTGGATGGAACTTCATAACATCATTTTGTTTTCATTGTCTTTAGTTTGCAGTTAACTTCTACTTGAAGCAAATGATACTGGTTTTGTTTTGTTTTGTTTTACAGATAAATTATTTATTTTTAATTATTTTCCTTTACAGGCAAATTTATTAAGGAAAAATAGTCAATTTAAAGGGACAGCATTGAATTAAACATTCAAGTGGCTTACAGTTACGGCAAAAATCACCAAGGTGGTACACTAATGACCAATGTTTAGGATACTCTGGGATAGAGAATAAAGCATGTGAGGGAGAGTGGTGGGGAGAAAAGGCTGGGAAGGGAGTCAGACCATGGAGGGCCTGAATACTAGGGTAAGGAGTGTGGCTTTTATTCTGTCAACAATGGTGAGGCGTTGGCTCAGGAACAGGCAATGAACATGCCCAGAGCCATGCTTGGCCTCTGAGTGCAGGTGAAGGGGAGACTAGAGGCTGGGACAGCACCGGGGAGGCTGCTGTAAGACTCAAGATGAATAAATAGAAGGCCCTGGACCAGGGTCCAGGTGGTCCAGCTGAAAGAGAGGAAGGGCTGGGTACTAGAGCCCACGTCAGGTTGGGTCATACGGCGCTATCTGGCTGACCTGGTGAATACAGGTGTCTTTTCCAGAGGTGACCGACCTTTGAGCCTCCAATCCTCCTCTCCAGTGTGATTTACTAAGAGAATCCAACAGTCTCTGACTGGGCTTTACTGAGAAAAGGTAACATCAGAAGAGGCCAGCCCACCACCGTCTCTGACCGCGTTAGGGGGAATTGGAAGTGCAGTCAGACAGGATGGAGAGAATGGACTCACGCCTCCTCAGTCTGTGTTTCCCGGCCAGAAAAGTGCGACGTCGGCTGGGCCGCTTGTGGTGATTCATTCCATTCCACACGATGAACATCTGATTTTCTAAGACCTTCAGCTTCATTTCACTGAACAAGAGCCGTTCAAGGATCTTGTCCTGGAGGGCAAAGCAGGCATGCAGTTTCTCGACTTCTTTCATGCTCAGGGAGTGACTGTTGGGTTTGGTTTCGCAAGTCTTTGATTTCTCTGCCTCTTCCTAAACGCCCCACCACCAGGAAAAGAGGAAGAGTTAGTTAATGGTGATAATCCTTTCCCACGCCAGGTGATTTACAAACTTCATGTGAATCAATTCTCACGACAGTGGGAAGAGAGTGGGGCCCAGGGAGGGAAGTTCCCTTTCTCAGTATCTCCCAGCCTGTGTGACGGCCCCCAGACTCCCAGGACCCACAGCTGCCTTTGGTTCATAGGAATAAGTGAAATGGCCCACTAATCTGTACTCAGAGAGGACACAAAACCCTTAACCCAAATGTATCTGCCTCCAGAGCTTGTTCTTTTCCCAACATGCCTTGCTGAGAGTTTAGTCAGGCCTCATAAAATCTCCAACTGTCAAGTCTCAGTGGTCTCATGAAATGCTCTTATCTCTATAATTACCTGCACCCCTCCACCATGCAGTTAATAATGACACTTAATTTTTTTTCTTTTTGGATTCAGCTACAAACTCCTGGTCTGTAAAACCGTTTGAAAATTAAATATTTCAGACGTGCAAAAAAGTAAATATTATAACAAATGCCCATGTTCCCACACCAGCTTAAGAAATAAAATGTCACAAAGTCTTCTGTGGATCCCGTTTCCAAAGTGTTCCCCTCCCTCCCTGAGTCTTATCTCAACTGCAATCCTGAATTTGGTATTTATTTTTTCCAGCATTTCTTTGTACTGCTTTATACTAGTCCTCAGTGGGAGACTATTTTGCCCTCCCTTGGGGACATTTGGCAATATATGGAGAAATGGAGAAATTTTTTGTTGTCACAAAAGGGGTGAAGAATGCTATTGGCATCCTGTGGGTAGAGGCTAGGGATGCTGTCCAAAATTTAGCAAGCACAGAACAGTCCTTCGTAACAAAGAATTACCCAGCCCCAAATGTCAGTCATGCAGAGATTGAGAAATCCTGCCTTAATATACTTTCACTATACACAGGCATCCATAAACAAGACAGGATATTATTTTGCATTGTTTTTTAACTTTATATAAAAGATGTCATAATCTAGGAATGTTTCTGCTGTCTTCATTTTTCCATTTTAGAGATTTATCTATGTTATACTTGTTTTAAAATTTATCCATCTTAATTTTCCCTACTTTAAAGTATCTGTTCCCATTACCAAAGCACGTTGACATCAAACATGAAGTAGGAGAGTCTGGGATGGGCCCTATTTTTCAGCCCAGGCAACTCAAGCTTTGTGAAGGAAGTGCTTTGTCCTCCATCACCCAAGAGGGAGCTGAAGAGCAAGCTGTTAGAGTGGAGTCATGTATTCCTCAATCTGGCCCCCTTGTCCTGACGCCTTCCCAGTCTCCCCACTCTCTAGTCTAGCTGTGACTCTCCCATCACCCTGAGCTGAAGCTAAGGGCCCTCTTGCTCACCTGCTGGGGCTCTGAAGGGGTGCGCTTGAGTTCATACTTGACCAGCCAGTTGCTAAGCAACAGCAGAAGGAATAGGAACCCAAACAAGGCTGGCTTATAGCTGATCAGCCAAGCAATCAATGCTCCTATGGTGCCTGAGGAAGCAAGTATCCCGTGGAGACTCCTAAAAAGAGACATTAGTTCCCCCAGCATTATGACTTGGAAGCACCCAGGCCCCGAGACCCTGCTTCAGTCCCCCATCTAAGACAGTTGCCCTCCATGACAGGAGTCATGGCTGCCCCCTCCCCTGAGTCATAACCAACCCCTACCCCCAGCTGCTGCATAACAATAATAGTAACTACTTCTATGTCTTAAGCAGCCATAGTGATGTGCCAAATTTTGACAGGCATAATCTCATGACATCCTCACAATAGCCAAGTGGTTTAGGCCTTCGTGATACCTCTGTTATTCAACAGTAGTTTTGGGCCCAGTCACTGGGAATCAAATGACCAGTGGTACAGAGCCCCTACCTTCATAGGGAGGGAGACGACAAAGAAGTTACCCAAAACTTGGAAACAAGGCAAAAAGATTTCTGCAAGCTAGTTCACAGTCATACTAGGAGATCATTTAACTGGCCCACTTGTTGGTCACCTGATGCTTTAGGGGAAGATAATTTTGTTGGGCTTACTATTTAATACTGATTAGGGTCCTGACTGTAAAGTCAGATGGATAAATTGCTCCAGCAGTTTCACATGGGTGTACATCTCAAAGAATTGAAAGCAGGGTCTGGAAGAGATGTTGTGCATCCATGTTCATAGCAGCGTTATTCACAATAGCCAAAAAGTGGAAGCAACCCCCAAATCCATCAACAGATGAATGAATTAAACAAAATGTTGTATATACATGCTGTGGGATTAGCCTAAATAAGGAAGGAAATTTTGACCCATGCCGCAACACGGATGAACTTTGAGGACATTATGCTAAGTGAAATAAGCAAAAAGACAAAAGCTGTTTGATTCCACTTATATGAACTATCTAGTGTGATCAAATTTATAGAGAGAGAAAGAATGGTGGTTGGCAGGGGTTGGGGGTGGAGGGGAATGATGAGTTACTGTTTAAAGGGTACAGAGTTTTACAAGATGAAAAGAGTTCTTGAGACTGTTTGCAGAACCATGTGAATGAACTTAACACTAGTGAACTGTACACTTAAAAATGGTAAAGATGGTAAATTTTATATTATGTGTATTTTACTACAATTTTAAAAATTGAATTAGTTATTTCTGGGAAAAAAGTGTAAGTTGCAAATGATTTTTTTTTTGCAAATAGATGGAAATGAGTTCTGTCTGATAGAAAAGATAACCTCAGAAGTTTATCATTTTATGGCCCTGTGGGACTTTTTTTTCTTACTCAACTTTGCAATCTTACTACAGCATTCTGTGTTCCATAGACCTGTGACTATATATCAGTTTCTCACAATCTCCTTTGAACCAGCTTTATCATCCTGCTGGTTCTCTCAATAATGAGTTAAATAAATCTTTGACATATGCTCACTGTTTTGTATGAGAACTTTATGTTCCAGTGTAAATTTTAATGGCTATGATATTCTAATATATTCAATTAGTTGCCACTTGTTGGGCCTTTAGGAACCTGAGATAAATACATTGAAGTTAAATCTCTGTACATACACTTAAAACTTTCCCTAGAATGTTTTCCTGAAAGTGAAATTGCTGGGTCAAAGGATACACATTTTTTTTAAATCTAATTTTAAATTTTATCAAATTATTAAATGTGCAAACCAGTCAGACAGAACTACAGGATTTAAAACAAACTAGTTTCCATCTCCTGTCTCACCCCCTCCCACCCTCAGGTTCTATGACTCAGACAACCAAATCCAACTCTTTTAGCTGTTTCTTCTGGTATTTATCTTGATATATCTAAATCATATGCTCATACTTTTATTTCTGAATTCCGCAGTTTTGACATTATATGCTATCTTTTTATGACGGAAGATGGGGATTTAGCTCCCTCCTCCATTTAGAACCTCCTCCGTTCCCACTTTGTCCCTCTTCTGTAAACCTCTCTCATTGCTCTCCTCCACAAACATTCTCCTCTCTCCATTCTCTCAATAAAATCCTATCCCTTTGCTTAAAACAATATTCATTGCTTATGTTACTACGGACATGTCAATATAGTTCACAACTGAACCATATATGATTGTATGTGTGTACATTATGATGTAGTGTGATTACACTTTCTTTCTGGCATAGCTTCTAGTTTTCTTGAAGTCTCATTCTTTCTGTTTGCTTAGTTTAAAAAAAAATTGACTTCACTGATGTACAATTGACATAAAATAAAATACACCAATTTTACGTGTATAGTTCAATGAGTCTGAACTAATCTATACCCACCCCAATCAAGGTACAAAACATTTCCATCACCCCCAGCAAGTTCTCCCCTGTTCTTCCGAAGTCAGTCCCACCCTCATCCCAGGCAACCACTGATTGGATTTTATCATTAGAGATTAGTTTTTACCAGTTTTTGAACTTCATATAAATGGAATTTTATTTTTGAAAATTATACTTTGAAGAGACAGACTTGTAAAGAAACAATTACAGCTCAGTGTCCTAGTGGAACTAAGCTTGAAGAACACAAGGCCTATTCCAGTGTTGGGTCACTGAAGGATTCCTGCAAGAATTAAAAGAATAAACCACCACCACCATCATGGACGTTAGAAAGAATTAACCTGGAGTAGAAAGATGTCCTGTGTGAGGGGACAGGGAACATAGTGGGTGGGAGGAGGTGCGAGTGAGGAAGTGCGAATGGGGAGAGGGACTGGATAAAAGGAAGATCATGAACAAAGCCCCGTAGGCAAGAGCAATCCCATTTGGACTCATCTGGATTTCCTAACTTCTGTCCATTTTATTACCACGAAAGCCATTTGCACTTCAAGATTTCCCCAGTCCAAGCAGGACAATTATGAATAGTAAATAAGACGATCTACAAGTTACATTTCAGTGTTTTCCCCTCAGTAGACCGTAAGCTCTTTGAAAGCAAGAACTTCATAATTAAACCCTTATCAAGTGGTAAGCATTAACCAATATTGGTTGAATTGACGAATGAGTACGTGAATGAATGAATGAATGAATTTATGAATACACGCAAACGGCTGGAGGAAATGGTCGTCCTCGGAGGTGCAATCTGACTCGGAAGCCCTAGGATGGGGGAAACAGGGCTGGGATCGACTCCAAAGGTCAAGGAGACGCTCTAGGAAAGCTTCGCGCACTCGGCCAGGGAGCCGCTCTAGCCGCCAGGACGCCGCTCTATGGCAGCGGGGAGGGCGGGGCCGTGGGCGTCTCAGGTCTTATTGTCCGGGCGCGGCGGGAGCGCGCTCGGCGCGTGCGTACGCTGGGGCTGTTGGCAGCGCGGACTGTGTGAAGTAAGGCGAGGCCGGGAGGCTCCGGACCCACGGACCGACAGACAGAGCGGCCCCTACGGCCGTCGGCGGCCAGGCGGCCGGACATGTTGTCTGGGAAGAAGGCAGCAGCC